TCTGTCACAATTATGATTCGTTTACTAGCTAGTGAGATAAGTGAGCGTAGAAAGTGAATTTTGCTTTTAATAGCGCATGCATTAAGCAGTAGAATGCGCTTGGAAAACAATTGGCGGGGCAAGTTCATTATTTGTTGAAACAGTACAGGGCTATCCACTGATGACGAGGTTATATTTGTTTTGTTTGACGGGAATCTCGCAATATCTGGTTCGGGATTATCGAAAAAATTTGTGCATGTATCCTTGGCCGTGGAGGGTTGATGCGGGGGTGAAAATGACGCTATCGTTTCCACGGCTGGTAACTTCGGGTGCAGGGACAATTTATTCCTTGTGTACTCGGGAAGTGGTTGGAGTTAAGGGATATATTGAGGCATTAGGTGCAACTTGTGACTGACCTGGTATTGAGCCATCCTTACCACCGGGACAAACTGAATAAGGATTGGGACCATGCAGTTGGTTTCTGTCGGATGTACCAGCGTTGGGAATGGCCGAGACCATTCCCGCTACCCCTAAAAATGGCTGTCTGAAACCGTTGGTTCGTGATTATTTCTGTGCTTATGGGGTGCGGTACAGGGCTGCATTGACCACTATAATTTTTGGACTATTTCGGATGCTCGCTGGAAAACAATACACAGGATTACCTAAGAGACAATTTTTTATAGACTCGCTCTCTTTGGGGATATCAGTAACAGTACGGCAGCAATGGTTTTTTTTCAGAAGACGCATAGGATGGGTTTGATGGTCTTCCATTTGGACAGCCCTTGCCTCCTTCGATTGTTCTACTAATTGATTCATCTTTGGGTGACAGCATTGCGTTCGTAGTAATTCGTTGCTCACCTGAAGATGTATCGTGTTTTGCACTGCCGGTCATTGTCTCGGTGATCGGACCCCATACAAAGGCTTGTTTCTAACTCTGGGATCCTAGTGGAAATGTTTTATGGGACATTCGGTCCACTAGTCAAACCATTTGTAAGGGTTCTTTTGTTTAACGGTGTTGTGATGGGGTCCGGAGTGTGGGCACTCGAAGTAGCTATCTCAGTATACGTGTGGTCAAGGTCTAAGTCCACGAAGCTGGTATCTCTATCGGTTTGGTCTGCATCCCGTGTCTTTAGTTCCGAATACGGATTACATGGTGTCTCCGTTTTTAGCGTTCGTGGAGCAGATGCAAGAAAAGACATTTGCAGAGGTGTCAGATCATGTTTAATTATCACATCTTTGAACTGAGTATGTTGGACTATGGCGAATGGACACAACATGAAGCCGTCCGCAGACTGTTCAATAGAAAATTTACGATTATCGTGCAACATTGCTTCGGCGTTGGTTTTCTAAGACGTATACATTTGCACTGGACTTCGGAGATGTTGCAAGCATCCAACAAGGTTATTTTTACTTTGTCTACATTAACCGCATCAGAAATGTTGAGAACTATAGCGTTCTTAAGTCTACGCGTTCGTTCATGGGTTTCGGATGCAATGCAGGCAATACGTTGGCCGACTTTTTCACTTGGACTGGATCAGGTTTCGCTGATGGATTGTGATGTATTATAAGGCAACTAGGTAGTCCTTAAAGGGTTCTAGGTAGGTCGGTTTTTGTTTCATTTCAGGAAGCTACAGCTCACGAGAACTAATCCTACCATCCAGTAGTTTCATGAGGCTGGCGCTTGTAGAGACATTGCTTCCATTGGTCATGCCCTGTCTACTTTTGTGCTTTAATTTTCGCTTGTTTTGTTCGCGGAACGGAGGATACACAATCCTTTGTTTGTCGAGTACGGTTAGATTTAGTTGGAGCCATAGTATCGTAGTACCGTCAAAGTTGAAACCTATAAAGTGGATAGGGATGGTGCTTATAGTACACGGGAAGTGGCTACAGCAAGAAGTAGCTAGTAAATAGAAAACCAATTAATTCAGAAATCGAATATGGAACAATAAGTATAGAGAATAGGAAAAGACAGAAGCGAAACAGGGATGTTTACACGACAACTGGTGGGCCAGTTCGTCATGTACTATTGAACTGCTTAGAACCTAGGCGCTTCTTTGAAGCGGGAAGAGTGAGCGCCAGGTGTGCAGCACTAGAGCATGGTCAGGATGCAGGCGCATGCCCTAAATTGACCGGGAGTCTTAGATTAATGTGCGTCATTCGTAGCTGATGGTAGTAGAATTAATTTGAATCCAAATCAATGGAGAATTCTGTAGGCGATAAGAAGGTTTGTGCTGGAAAGTGGTGCTGCAAATAGAAAGATTGTGGTCCGCGCATAGTTACAGTAATCGATCAACATTGTTAGTTCGGCATGCCTCGACCCAGAAGCGGTCTCCTAGGTGTTGATCAGTCTGAAAGGCGACCCACTAGGGTATTCATGTCACCAGCAACAATCACGTCAGTAGTTCTGAAATACGGAGAAGAAATCGTTTTTGGTGCTCTTCGAACTGCAGTCAGACGCTGAGGAGGCATCTTTTCTTCAGACAATGCTTATTAACCCCAACACAGGTTCAAAGTTGAACCGCACCATGCGACTGTCCATTGGTATCCAGTCGACTAGATTATCTTCAGCATGTTTGTTAAATGCGATAACGACCCCATGAATGTCTTAAGCCATTAACACAACATCGCCGGAGACGCAAAGACTGTAGTCATTTTCAGCAGATTCGGCACTAAAGAGTGGAACATTCATCATTACGCTGTTATTTTGTTTGCGTCACGCATCAGTGCTAAGAGAGTGAACAATCAGAGTTAGTGCTGCATGCACCGATGACAGCAGCTGCGATATCAGCTCAATAGACGGGGAAGAAGAGATTTGAGAGCAAAGAGGAGTGGGAGAGTGGGGGTATTGTCGTCGGAGTGGCGAGGACAGATGATATTCTCAGACTCATCATTCCGAGAGATAGGTTTGTCCGAGGTGACCTAACTCTAGCTTTTGAATTAACAGTCTGTCCCACAAAGCACTGGGGTGCATGTAGGCTCATGATTCCCTGAATTCGTTCCGCTGCCTTGCAGGCAGGCTATTCGGCCAAAGGATCGGGGTGGTGTCCCCTAAGTTAACACCCAACTTCGGCTTGGGCAACCAAGTAGTACCTTGTCTTCTGACGAAACCATGGACTCATCCGTGTTGTGTTTTAACAATATCTGTACCTTCCTTTGAGTTCCATGGTTTTTGATAGCTCCATACCTATTCGTAGGCTCAATAGCCTCACCCACAAAGATGTGAGGAGCAAGCCCAGCTAGGAAGTGTGATTACTGAGACCCGTTTGTATCTGCATGAGGTCTATCACACATGCAGCCTTTGAGGGTTTAGAAGAATTCACGTGTATGTTAAGGCTGCAATATGTCAGGCGAATGTGACCAAGACCAATCGCTGGTAGGAGTTGGCGGGTCCACGCTAATGTTACTGGGGACTGCCTGGCTAGAGGTCTGGTGGTGCCCTTCTACCGTCAGAGACTACGCGTGTCGGTCGTGCATTCTACAATCGAAGTGTGAGCTTAAAACCCGTAAACTTGTGTCCAATGACTAGGTTAAAGAAAAAGAGGGACTGACCTCTCTCGAACCTCCGAAGAGGATCGTGCAACTGTATTAGTCGGACCCAGAATTAATAACCTGTCTTGTATGAGCGGTTATGAAGATACTTGGAAAGTGTCATCCAGCGTAGCTTAATGCGTCAAAGAGGTAACAAAGCATCGCACTGTTAAGGTTTAATCTCGTCGTGATGGAGATAGTGAAAATGAATGGAGACGCCTATCGAATGGCACATTGACTACTTATGACCTATGCAGACATTTATCAAGGTAGCAATAGAGCACAAAAATGCAAGACAGCCGTAGCTGGTGGCCATGGAGAAGACCGGAATAGTGAGATTGGTTGCCATCAAGCCATAAATAGATGCGGTACGGAAAATCCTTCAAGACAACAGAAAGTAGGACAGCAAACCTGTAACAAGTTTCTATTCATGGAGGTCCACAACACAGGATATCGGAACGCGAGAGACGAAACGCGCAATTCGCTTGGTTTGTAGCAACAGTTCCTCCATAAATGCGGTTAGGTTACTGGATGCACCCTAGGTTAGGCTACGAGGCTATGGTCCAAATGGAGGAAGTGAAATATTTACGTTGGAAGACTGGAGTTTCGTTATCGTTACCATCATAAGCCAATGCTCAAACCGAGATTCTGCATTAGTGCTGAAGAAACCACCACTCCCTTTTTGCCTCTACTATAAGGTCAATGTTAAAGTACGCCTCGCCAGCCTATCGTCCGAGCATCCGTAGTAAGGCGCATAAGATCGAACGGACCCAACATATGCCTACCAGACTCAACTGCAACTACGCAGACTGACGTTAAATACAAGGATTGTACACCCTGACCAATCGTCTGGTGCGAGGTGACCTCAATACGATCAACTGTGTCACACAACTCAGTGAATTCTCCAAGCTGAGACTGCTACTCCACCTGCGCGAATCGAACGCGGATACTAGTAAAGACTATAAGTGTCAAGCTAAGAGAAAATTGTTCATCTGTTTGTCGAGCTGCAGGTGGTGTCCAGAACAGTCAGTAAGAACACGGTCTAGGTAAAAACTCTGTTGTAAAGCAAGACATTTATGGAGGCGGGTTCGGCGACTATCAGATTCACAGTATTTCCCTAACGACTCGGATAGTATAATTTTGTGACCTCTTTGCTAATATGGGATATAGATTATCACAACCTCAAGTGAGAACACGAGCAAAGACTAAGCTAATGATAAATGATAGGTATTTAAGGTTTTCAAACAAATATCGATGGGCTGGCGTATAGAGCAGTTGAAAAGTGGCCCATCTCAAGCGTTTGAACAAAGTGCGCTGTGGCTAAGAACAGACGACCAGAATGCCTCAAGTGAAGAGTATTCAAAACAGCATGTTTGTGAGTGACGCCCTGCAAAAGGTATCCAAGTGGTCTGGTGGGCATGATGAGCAGAACAGCGAGGGAAAATGGTAACAAAGGAATGCAGGCAGGAAGAGGCGCCAAGACAAGAACTAACCTGCTTGCTTAAAATATTGCAGAAATCAACCGCAAGATAGAGCAGGCGGAATGCGTTCAGAACCAGATGAGGAGCGTATGCGTGAAGACTGAGGACCACTATGGAAAGACTGTGGCTAAGAAAAAAGCATATGAATACATAGTAAACAAACCATAGCACCGCTACCATATTGTAGGTGCCGAATAGGTCGGAAACCAAGATTGGAGAACACCGCAAGACTATTCGGTCAATCTGAGCAACGAAGTGGAAAGTTAAGTGTATGATCTGGTACCTTGGCGTTGCCAGAGACGAGAATTTCAGAGTCAATTGGTACAAAGTGTTCCAAACGAACCTGAAGCCGCTCGGTCTCCGAGTTGTCAAACTGAGCCAAAGCAAGAAGGGCGTCTAAAACAGAGAGGAAATATACACGGAAGTTCTGAACATTAACGATTGGAGAAACATGCCGGAAATGGCTTGAATGCTGTCAGTGTAGCGAACCTTGAGAAGCTGTGTTGGCAGGTTCCACTGTCTTCACAGCCTGCAAAAAGCAGTAGGCGCAAGCGTAGTGATAGTGCATGAAAACTGCAAAATGCTCATATTAAGCAGTAACAAGTAGGTGAGTCAAAAATGGAAAACTGGGTAGATGAAGCCAGCGGAAATCTCTCAAGGCGTAATTCAGGTCAGGAGCGGAAAGGAATAATTCATTCTCAGAGACCTCAAAATAAACGAGATGATAGGAAGATTAGAAAAAAGTTCATGTAGGAGAAGTGTAACGCGGATATGCGGCACGATGACAGGAAGAGAATGCGAAATGTAAATCGCACCGTAAAAAAATAAGGTAAAATGGTCAAAAATGAAAGAAACTGAGTGGGTTACGAAAAGAGTTGCAGCATATGTAGAATCTCACCATTCAGTATGGAAAGCAACCGCGTGGCTTGTATGACAAAAATATCCAGCCGATGTCGTTCGAGTAGTACGAAGAGCTTTTTCAGCACAAGTCCAACGGCAGTTAAATGATATGCGAACTTTGGCCGGCAAGCAATAAGGAGAAGTCGATGGAAGCACCATCCCGCAAAATCTATAAAAGTAAGCGCAAAAGGGGAGAACGGCATGGGGAAATCGAAAAAAGGAGTACGGTCATAGGGAAGTAATAAATGAAACGTGATTTCGGATTCCTTAGCATCAACAGGGGTGCATCAGCCGTCTGAACTAATGATTCGCTGCTATACAATCAGGGTGGTCTACGGAACGAAGAATAATAACAGCGAGAGAAAGGGGAACTATCGTAAAAACTTATTGCTCAAACAAACATTCAAGGTCGAGGCGACTACACCTTGTGTCAAGAACATACCGTCACAAACACCTGGCTATCGTGCCAAGGCAAGGATTCGAAGCTAAAAAACAAACTGGCGTCTTATTACCAAAGTGGACAGACTCAGTATAAGCGTCAGAAAGTAAAAGGTCAATGTTAGCTAAAAGATCCCTTCAAATCTCCAAAGTCATCGCAATACAATAAAAAACGAAAATCGGTGATTTTCGATAACCACAGTTCACTTCTGTAGATTACATAAAAACATAGGGTGTTGCCTTCGCGTCAGGATCAAAACAGCAAGCAGACAAAACCCCTGTGGCAAATTCACTTCTCGCATTCTCTCCCTGAAATGGCCCGACAAAAGCAGTAAGCACAGAGACAGAGCAGTCAGCAGTACGCCGGTGCACAGTACCGAGGCTTCGCTGCTGAGCGACCATTCGTGGTGGTCTATGGATACTGTGAGATCACCCAAACCAAAGCAGACTCGGACCGGTGACCTCTGGGCTGCAATGCAGACGTCTCATCCCATCGGCAACCGGAAAGAGGTTGGCACAACGTTTTTTTATCAATGTGAATTATAATGCGGAGCTGTTGTATGAAACTTGATCACAAGAGCGCGGTCGACAACCCAGCCCAACGAAGTAGTGAGGAAAAGTAGGAGCACACTATGGTTACGTCGAGAACCCAGTCACTAAATACTCACATTCGGGTGCCCGATCAACGAATCAGTTGAAAAAACGAGAAATCCGCTAACCAATAAACACACTAAAGGGAAATATAAATGGCGGTGCACGTGAGTAGCGATTCAGTCGACGACAGGTGGTCTGCTATCTCAGGCTGACTGCAACATCTTAATAGCAGCACTGCTTTCAAACACATCGCGCCATCTGGTGCCCACCGAATGCTGTGAAGACTTAGACCCAACTTGACTATATTGCAAACATGGTCCACATAGGTCCAAGAGTGTAGGAACTGGAACACGTGCCTGGATTCCGGCCATAATCTAGTGCACGCAAACAAGTTCCAATGAATATTGAGTTTTAGCGTCTCCGTAACACCATGAAACAACGATTGACAAAGAGACTTCGGATTGACCGGGGAAGGTTGGTACAATGTTGGCTAAATTATTATAAATGCATTAAATTCAGCAAACTTATTATTTCTTCACATTACTTGTACGAATCAAATGGTGTTACTGCATACTGATTGAATTCCACAAGAAAAACATATACTGATTAGAAATGCATCAGGACTAGTACCTTCTAAATGATCCTTAGACAATTTTCAGAGTCAACACAGAAAGGCATGGAGTGAGTGAGCTTTGCAAATGATGACCAATTGGTTGTTGTTACATGTATGGTAGTTGTGTCAACTGACGGTGACCTTTTTATCTTAAATTGTTATTTCTTACTGCAGCCTACATTTCTGGATTACATTTATCTGGTTTTGGATCAGTTTATAGTTACATCTAATTATTCATATAGTTATTTTCCCATGTATCTGCTCAAGTAACGACACAACCGTATTGATCGACAGTTTCTAGTTTGTATTAGCAAATTAATGGGTAAATTACGTGACGTAACCCTTCGAAAGCGTGTGAAAATTGTAATTTTGTTGAATGAAAGTGTTAAAGGATCAGTATGAACTTCGAGCTTGCAGACTTCCTATGAAGGAAAAAACAACTGTTGCTTTTGTGTTTTACCCGCTCCAGTCTGTTTTGACAATATGTCAAGCTTTTTGACCCGTTCCTGTCGTATTTCTTTCATTTGTTTGGTCAAGTTGCTTCCTCATAGGTCTGCAAGCTCGAAGTCCACAATCCGAAAGTCGCCTTCTTATAGTTCGGGAATTTACTGCAACACTGTGCTGTTCTAACAGCACTTATAGCTGTCCGCTAGATGGTTTGCGATTCTTTCGGCATTCCCTAAAAAGACGTGAGTCGTCTCGAGCTGTGGTTGCTCTTCTGCGACCATATTTACTAGAACGTTTGGGAACATGACTAAATTTTTTTGCACTTTCTTTTGCATTTGGCATACAGACACTGGGCTAACACCAAGCTTGATAGCACTTGTTGATCTCTTAACACTTTCCCTCAATAAAATTTCAATTTTCGCACGCTTTCGAAGGGTTACGTCACGTAATCCATCCATTAATATGCTAATCAAAACTAGAAACTGTTGGTCAATACGGTTGTCACAATTAAATGTAACTATAAATTGATCTAAAACCAGACAAATGTAATCCAGAAATGTAGGCTGCAGTAAGAAATAACAATTTAAGATAAAAAGGTCACCGTCAGTTGACACAACTACCATACATGTAACAACAACCAATTGGTCATCATTTGCAAAGCTCACTCACTCCATGCCTTTGTGTTGACTCTGAAAATTGTCTAAGGATCATTTAAAAGATAATAATCTTGATGAATTTCTAATCAGTATATGTTTTTCTTGTGGAATGCAATCAGTATACAGTAACATCATTTGATTCGTGCGAGTAACGTGAAAGAATAAGGAAAAAGTTTGCTGAATTCAATGCATTTATAATAATTTGGCCAACACTGTAGGTGACAAGGGTCCATGGGAGGTAGAAAGCGAGTGCTACTTCAGGTCATCCGGAACAAGGGTCCGATAAAGACATCAGCTGGTGAGACAATAGCTGAGAAAGATGGACAGCCTCGTCGACTAGACCGTTGGGCGGAACATTTTGAAGAACAGTTCAGCTGGTCTCCGGCCACACTGGCACTTGCTAACTCATCTGAACCGACGTAGAATGTTGATGTCAGACTTCCCACTTCGGAAGACATTCAACATGAGCTCTCCGTGTTAACACGAAACAAGCTATCTGGACCCGACGACCTTTACTGTTGCGTCAATCGTTGCACATCGTGACCTGATGGCTAAACAGGTAGAGGTCCTATCTAACATCCCCATGGTCCCGGGTTCCAGGCGTGCTATACTACTTGATGAGTACAAACAGGGTCGTGTAGTGCAGTGTGTTCGGGTGGGCGACACGCAATTTCCATCTGCCTCAACTACGGTCCTTGTGAGCGAATTGACTAAGGTTCATTTAAATACGTATCACAGTCTACATTGAGATTGCGCGTTGCAATCTCAATCACACAACGAAGGACCCTTCAAAGAGTGACCGCGTTTTTGAATGCAAGAAGAAACAACAACGGACAGTTCAGCTGTAGGCGGAAGGTGAGAGAAAATGGCTTACCTGGACCAGCGTGTCTAATAAATGTGACATTCAGTGAATGTAGGAGTGACGAAGGCGGGAATAAGCCAAAGAAGCATACTACATGCAACTGTGACTGACGAAGAGATACTCATTAGGAAATGCTTAAGGATTAAACGGGAGATATGATTGGTGAATAGCCTGAACAAAGATCTGTGAAGCTAGCCCCGAACACGTTAATTTACTGGGCGAACGGAGTATACAAGGACAAGTAACCGGGATGGACCAGCGAGCGGAAAAGAAAGCAAGTTATAATAATCTGAGACCAGGGTTGATAGAGTGCAACAAGTGATGGGCGGGATGAGATTCCTTACCGTTTAGAAGATGAACGGCCAAACCTTGAGTTATTTGGTAGTGTCGATAGGCAAAGGTGCTTTCTACCTGAGAAAGCAGTGGCAAAAGGCCGGCGTCTGGAGTGTCACTAGTATTCTCCAACTTTCCCGATACTTCGTCCAGGATACAATATACGAACTTAAGTGCTTGGTGGGCGTCAACTCTACAAGAGGGAAATGAAACGGGGAAAACTAAATATACAGATTATTTCCAAGAGGAAGTCATCTCTATACAAAGATCACCGGAGCCAGTAAATTGAATATGTTGGAGGATAAACTGCTCCCCTAGGATAATGATGAATGGGCAATGATAGTGAAGCAAGCCCCACAATAGCACTGAGCTAGACTCACCGTTACAACAAAAATGTATGGGGCATATAGAAATCCCAAAGCAAAGCTCTCATTAAGTGGTCAGTTATAGTGGATCTAAACCACGATAGCTCAGTTTGGTTCAGTTCAGTTGAACAACTATAATACGGCACAGAAGTGACATGACTCGAGTCGCCACAGTAAAAACTAACAAAGGATATGCAAACCGGACAAAAAGCGCAAAACTAATAAAGATGGAATAAACATTAACAGCCAGATACGAGAGATCGAATACAGGAATGTTGCTAACTGTCCGAATGCGATGTCTGATAGGATCCCCAACCGCTGGTACGGACCATCCTGAGGTCTCTATCAGTGAAGGCGGCACACATCAGCCTGACCAAAGCCATCGATCAGATTCTTCAGGCCTTTTTGCCAAACCATCGATTGACCATCTGCGGTTTCACCTAACTTTGCGTAGCTACGACGAATAACGCAAGGTCGAGGAAAACAGTCGACGGGAATGCGGAGGACATGACGTATCCAACTTAAGCGGTTACGATTCAGCAAACATTCGAGTGAGGCACCAGAAGAATTCTTACCAAATACCAACTGGTGGATTTTAGCATTGCTTATCCCGTGTTCCAAGCAGATGTGAGCAATACTTCACAAGCTCTGGTGATCCAACGGCAAATCGTTCAATATCTTCATTGTGAACTGTCAAGGTATCTGATCCATACAGCAACATAGAGTTATATTTTACTGACAAAGTGATATCCCGCCGTCTCCATGGATGTTTAAACCTCTAACATGTCACATGGACCTTGCTGATATGCAAAGCAACTTCCACAGAGATGTAAACATCATAAGTGAAACATCATGGTGAATAAACAGAGTCACCATTTGCAGTGGTTGTCCGCTGATAGCTAGAATCGGTGGCGTATGGGACAAGTACTTAATGAGAAATAGGCACTTCAAAGCTGTAAATCACATACCAAAGTGTACAGCGTTACGCACCAGTGTGGACAGTATCGTTTACATTGCCATTACGTCAGACCCAAGGTTAGCTATTCCGTCCGCATACTCAAGGTTTCGCAGTCGTTTACTTGGCAGGGATTACACTCCAGAGGAGTCCGAAAGAACCGAGTCACTAATGATCATTTTAATCATAAAGTTGTAGTGGTAAGGAGATACAGGACAACCTTGGCGAATCCCGAGCGTCTCAAACAACAACAGCAGTACATCAGCCATTCGAACTGATGCTCCGCTGCTATACAACTATGAAAACCTACGGAATAAAGAATAATAGAAGGGGGACTTTAATGAAAACGTTAATATCCCAAGCAAACATTAACGGTCAAGGCGCCTACATCGTGTATTAACAAAATACCGCCAAAAACAGCTGGCTATGCTGCAAAGAGCACAACCGTTGTTGACTGATTGACTGGTGAATCCTACTTGTAGTGAGCAACTCAGGAGATAGGCTACCCGTAGACCATTACCCAGACTCGTGAGTCACGGTAGAGACTTCAGAATGGAAAAGGATTTAGCTGGCATGCCTTTCATAGATAGGAAGTGATACAAGATGACTCAATCAAAGCGGCTTTAAAGTCAAGGAAAACCACCATCGTCGGTCGTCTGTAAGTGGGGCTCTGTTTTAACACATGGCGGAGAATAATTATGTGGTCGGTGCAACCACGAACAAGGCGGAACCCAGCCTAGATTTCAATGATTCGGCTCTCGTGAGCAACAGTAAGCCGTCACAGAGTGATACGCGTAGAAAGTTTAGAGGCAATGAAAAGAAGACTAGTGCATACAAGGTAAGCTGACCATTTTGAAGACTGACACAGCAGTTCGCAGTCGCTAGTCTGAAGGCATCTTTTCAGTGTCCAAAGTCGTGTTGAATAATGCAGCAAATCCAGTCAACAAAGAGCCACCTCCATAGTACAGTAATGATGGAGGATAATTGTCGGGCCAGGGAGTCTTATTTCGTTTCAAAACGGAGAGCTCATGTTGAACTTATTCCAAAGTGGCAGGTGTGATAACTTCCCACGTCGGCTCAGATAACGCAGCAAACAGCAGTGTCGCAGTAGGCCAGCAGAACTGCCATCTAAAATGTTCCGCCAAACGGGCCAGTCGACGAGGCTGAATACATTTACCGTGAATCAATCTCAGCTATTGTCTCACCAAGTAACGCTTAAACTCAGTATCCATTGGAATGTGTCCGTATTTGATCAAACTGACCGATACTTCAGGGATTCATTCCCAGTTCAAGCGTCTCATTCTGGGACTACAACAGGAGAAAAAAACAATCTTCAGTGCATACTTGAGACGATTTCAGTCAGCGTTCGGCTCACCAACCTTCTTCTTCAACGAACACTGGCGGACAAGTTTGTCATGATACTATTGAAACGCAGATTGCGAGTTTAAGTTACAAGCAAGAAACATAAAAGCTAGCGATTATTTGAAACGGGGTGAGTGCGAGACGTGCACGCACTAGAGAATGGTCAGGATGCAGGCGCATGCCCTAAATTGACCGGGAGTCTTAGATTAATGTGCGTCATTCGTAGCTGATGGTAGTAGAATTAATTTGAATCCAAATCAATGGAGAATTCTGTAGGCGATAAGAAGGTTTGTGCTGGAAAGTGGTGCTGCAAATAGAAAGATTGTGGTCCGCGCATAGTTACAGTAATCGATCAACATTGTTAGTTCGGCATGCCTCGACCCAGAAGCGGTCTCCTAGGTGTTGATCAGTCTGAAAGGCGACCCACTAGGGTATTCATGTCACCAGCAACAATCACGTCAGTAGTTCTGAAATACGGAGAGGAAAAAAAAGATGTCGGAAGAAATTGTTTTTGATGCTCTTCGAACTGCAGTCAGTAGGTGAATAAACGGAGGCGCTGAAAAGACACCTTGTCTTCATATTATCATATTATATTTTGTATCGGGTATGAAATGGCAGCTGGAGAGGGAGAGAAAAAAGAATAGGGAAGACGAAGAAACCCACAACACAAACGCCACCGAGGTTAACTCCTCCCTATGTCAACTAAGGCAACCGACCGGACGTATTCGTCGCCCTTTGGACCCCAACCCGGCCGTCGGGTGGCACTAACCGACGCTAAGTTCAAGGGTTTTCAGTTTGTTGAACAAGTCATCAGTTGGCCTAAACCTTCTCTCCCTTCTTCCATCCACACTCCGGTCAAACCAACAACGCACGACGAGGGAGTCGAGTGCTGGCATGCGCAACGCGTCGCCCAGCGATAGGAACGTCGTGCGTGATATACTGGTGCTAAGCGGTTCACTCGCCCTTCCTGCCCCAAATACGCGACAATGAGCATATCCGTTGCTCAATGGTGTTTCCACTAGACATGAGATTGGCTGCGAAGGCAGCGACGGTCGAAACTAACTAGCGTCTTTTTATCTATCAATCTGATGGTCAGGTTTCACAACCGTACAGGGCTGAACGAACGGTTGCGCTGTAAATTCTGTCCTGCAAAACATGATGGACGCCGCGCCGGCACCACAGGTAGGATATTGGCATAAGCGCCTTGGGCTTTTGCCATACGGTCCGTGATCTCATCATCTATTCCACATGCGCTAATACAGCTGCCTAGAAACTTGAATTCCTGGACGACTTCTAATTGATCCCCACCACGGCTGTCAATGTTGTAACAACTGCGTCTAGGGGGTGCAAAGCAAACTCGAAACGATTGACAACCAGTGCTAATTAGTCCAGTATTACGTGGCACGTTTAGGTGTCACATGAGGTCCATGTCGTCGGCATACTACAAGTCAAGAAGTCGTCCACCTGGAAGCAACTCCACAACTTGTAGGTTGTGTACAGCGAGCGCCGTTTCCATGACTTCGACAATGGCGAAGTTAAGGAGGAAAGGTGTCAGCGGGTAACTTATTCTCACACCACTGGGGATATTAAAGAGCAGCAACAATTCCCATAAAACCTCACTCAGTTCGAAGTATGCGCGTACAGCGCTCCGATAATGTTTACATATTCTTCGCGCACACCTTTCCTGAGTAGACAGTCCCAAAGGGCACATCGATCTGCCAAACCGGACGTACCTTCGATTTCGATAAACATGACTATGGTGGGTCGTCAATAAATATGGTGGCGTTCCAACAACTGACGAAAAGTGACCTAGTGAAGGCAGCCTCGATTATGATGGAAACCGGCTTGCTCCTAGCGAATCTGCCTTTCACAGATGCAAGCCAGTTTGTGTAGAACGACAGACGCAAGTAAGGTAGAGGCAATTTGGACCATATCGGTTCATCTATACTTGGTATTACAAACGTCAGCCTTCCTTGAAAAGTCGGACGGTATGTTGCTTTCGCATATTCACTAGCAGGCTATGCAAATCACTCATAAGAGCTGGTTTTCCGAATTTTAAACTGCTGGAGGAAGTATAGATGCTTCTGCGGCCCTATTCAATTTCAACAGTCATATCTCACGCTCAACTTTTGAGCATGAGAGCAGATCTAAGAGGACGGCTCAGGCAGAAGGACGATAAATGCCCGGGAAGGAAGATGATAACCCTGGTTGATAAGCTGTCATCAGGTTGTCCACTCTCGCCGCCTTGCACATATTGCAAATTAGAACATGGCCAGATGAGGCGTGGAAGTGCGGATAAAACATTCCGAGGGACTACACCACATAGAAGCAGGTTCCCAGGAGACGGTTTCATGGATGGTCGTGTCACTTTACTTGAATTGTTTGCTATGCGTACACTGATTTATACGGTATACTTTTTGCATTGTTATTACTTCTAAATAATTGAAGACCGCAAAGCTTCTCTGGGACCTACGTTGTGAAATTCAAAAAATTTCTCCACCATCCGAGTATATTGTGCATAATGATCAAACAAGGAATTTGATCTGTCTCGCACCGTCGAGAACTAGACAATTTACTTATTGATTTAACACAAGGTCTCCTGCTGCCCGTTTCCCGCGTCAGACGGAATAACTTCTGATGTCTACCACCAGCAGCAGATGTTTTCAGCGCCGACGCAATATGAGACCATTAGGATTCGCGGTCTCCCTTCAGGCCAGAGCGCAGATTTGCTGAGATCTTTGCGAGTTTCATTGTGTTGCTTTCGAGCCCGAATATATCGGCGACCGTCCAGAAGCTGAACGGAGACCCAGTGCCAATGCTGGAAATCGGATTTGCCACACGAAGACGAACCTGCAGATATTAACGTCTGACGAATATGCGACCAGTGACCAATAACTGTGTTCAGTAGGCGTTCACAAAGCTTGGATGCCAGTGTACATCGACAAGCAATCAGAACACCTGGCTTCGCCGGTTGGCAAGTGCCTATGCGTTCATAGCGTCGTTGCGGATGTCCACCAAAACGCAATTGCAAATTAGAACATACAAGGGCGTAGTCGGAGTCCACGCTCGTGCTCCAAATTAAGCGGCAGTTTTGGACGCAGCCTCTGTAGCGGTAACGGATCGCGATGTGTTCGAATTGCGTCCATGGCTGGTGAGTGCCAAATCATTCTTCTGCGGGTGGTGTCGAAAGTTAGTGCTCACGAGAAATAGACGAGCATCCTCACACAGGTGAAGCAAATGCACACCACTATCCTTACGGGAACCTACACCAAGCGGAAGCCCAGATGAAGCGCATCAATGGACAGTTTTCTAGTTTGGGCGCCCAGATCGCCAACAAGTATCACAATACCCGAACATCTTCAGTAACGGAAAAACTCGTTCAGTTGGTAATAGAAGTCAACTTTCAACGAGTTGTTGCTACAGTTGGTGGACGCGTAAACGGCAATGATGGACAGGCACCGTTTGTCCCCGCTCAACCTCGAAGCTTTGAAGGAGCCGGTCAATCTGACGGCACACACCTGTCTGTTGACTGGGATCTAATTGATAAGGGGAGCTTCAGCTTAGGAGCTCAAAACAATGCCCACACCGTCTTGATTGACATTTGAAGTTGTGTTATCTTCGGACAAATGCAATGAGAAAATGCTGCCAGTATCTTATGTGGGGGATCACAGAGCTCGAAACTTGCATGCGGATTTCCGATAAACAGCAGACATCAGTCGGTAGGGTCAATAGTGTTTGGGCAAGTGCTACCTGCTGGCCAGTACGTAACAAAGTGCGCAAGTTAAGGCGTTAAGGGTCCAGTCTAGTCGCGATGGCTCTCATTGTCAGAAACAATACTTGGCGATCGTGCTCTACTAAAATCGAGCTGTGAGTTTACAACCCACCACTTGGTTTTAAAGGGAGAGGGTCATCGACTTTTCCTTAAACTCCCAAGACAACTGTGAAACTAGGTTAATTCGACTCCTGAGCATTGACCTGTTTGTCTGTGGCAGTGAAGGCACTTAGAAGTACCACCCAGCGTAGTTAAACGGGCCACGGAGGTACACAAACCGTTGCACCACCTTAAGTTCGAATGTCGTCGAGATGCTGTTCACAAACTGGTAACGTAACTGGCAATTATGGCCAATTAGGTTGGTTTCCAAAGTGTTCAAGGTAACGATACAGGCATTTTGATAGATTCCGAAGAGACTGTTTAGTTAACAATAGTTCTGCTACTACAGGTGCTTCTATCCCCAATGCGTGATGGAATTACTAGGATCCACCGTCTCTTTTCAAGCTAGCACAATTCCGCCCTGAGGTTTTTGCGATCCTCACCATACTCGCTTGAAGTCGGAAGGCGTGGTGGCCACCTAGGAATTTCAAAAACTGCGTTGAGATCCAATGCACAGGCTAGCGTTTGAATTCGGCACGCAAAGAGCCATTGTGGTCCATGACTTGTCAGCGCACATACGCTTGCATATGAGCCGTTGATGATAATTACTCGTCGCTTTGCGAGAGTCCAAAAGAATGGTGTACAGGAAGGAAAGCTTGTGCTGAGTTCTCGTCAAGTTCGTTAATTATAAGGTGGATTCAACTATAGGGACCAGCGAGGGAAAAAAGAAGCAAGTGGAAAAAAGCAAAATGGAAAACTTTTGAAAAAGCATGTGGTTAAGAACAAGAGAGCATGTTTATAGCCGATACGGAGGTTTTGCTGTATTATATCGTCGAATTGGCGGGTTCACACTGGGAAGAGGATTTACACCACTCTGAATGGGACTGCCTGTCATTGTTACAGTGATTTTTCGCCACGTTCTAAGCTGACTAACCTAAAGTGGAATGGGGTCCAGATATTGTAGACAATCTGCCTCAGCAGATAATATAACGCAAAATCGCATGGTAAGTGTTCCAGGCAGATGTATGTGATGCTACATAGAAACTGACGACAAGAGTTAACCATAGTGTGCGATAACCGTGTGTCGAATCAATACCGTAACGCCTGTTGGAAAGAAGCATTGTTCACTTTACCCAAAACCGACAAGCTAACATAATGCCATCTCCAAAAATTATTGAAGTATCGAAAAGTCACAGCATGCCGGCGGCAACCCATTCCGTGATGGTACAGCTGTAAAGCGAACCGATCTGCAACATCCAGTGGCTGTTCGCTAAGGAGCCAGTGGCAGGTCGGACAGGTCCTACAATAACATTTTGCATTACATGCGCCGTGAAAAGCAGACGCAGCCCTGGTAATGAGAAAATCATCAGTATCCGTTGCACAGGTGCATCTAAAAGATAAATCTATGTTGCGCTTGTTGTTAATATGTACGTTTACAACGATCATTCAGTTTGCGTAACAGTCGGCCCGCAGTTATCATACATAAAATTACAAGTGAATGTGAAACTATTCCACAAGAAGAAGGCAGTGTTCTCGGTTACGGTTTGGAGTGATAGATGGTTTATCAAGGAATCTCTTATGGTAGGGTCCAGATAAGTCTAAGAGGAAAACGAGTGATGTTAACCGGGAGAGGAACAGTAGACTACTCTTAAATGTGCAATGCGATTCAGCTTTAAAGTAAACAATGAGTGACAGAAAAGTGTATACAAGTAGTGCGCTGATGCTTCGCAACTGTAATTAGAAGTGGGGAACTAGAACCCGGATAACATAGGCTACGACCGAGATGCTCGAACCACAATGTGCCACGGCATAAGTAACGATTCTTGAATGCAATGGTTTTCAGGAGGTAACATTTCATCACAACATAAGATTCGTCATAAGTGCGCATCAGCAAACTAGTTGCAAAACAGACTGAACGGGGTAACAATAAGTGAGCAATGTGATGACGCAATTCGCTAAGACTTGAACACGCAGCTATCAGCAGAAAAGTAAAAGAGCATAGAACAAAGGGTCAGGGATAAATCGCAACTCCTTTTATATTAATGCAAACAACTTTGCAGAAGGTATGACATCACCGAGAAAAATGCACCACTTTAACTGGAATTGAGGAGAAAAGATCTTCAGGTGTTGGAGCACTCGCCTTGCAATGCGACACGCAATCTCAATCGTGACATCGGTGGACTTTGAAGTCAACCTCTGCCAATTTGGTCACTGGGACCGTCACCGAAGTGGAGAATTTCGGTGTGGCTCTCTTCCATCCCTGAACTCTAAGAGCGACAGTTTCGTTTTTGTTTGGACTAATCAAGTAGAGATAGCCGAGCTGGGAGTGGAACCCGGCACATAGTGCTTGGCGGCTATCGCCATGATCTCTAGGCCATTGAGTTGCGCGATCAGTGTTTGACAAATCGGTGGGAAGTTGATTTTCGGGTTTTGGAGCACCCGCCGTGTGTCTTGCATTGCGACACGCTAGCTCAATCGTGTCCTCGGTTGACTTTGAAGTCAACCTCTGCCCATTTGGTCACTGGGACCGGCACCGTGGTGGAGGGTTCCGGTGTGGCTCTCTCCCATCCCTGCACTCTAGGAGCGACAGTTTCGTTTTGGTTTAGACTAATCAAGTAGAGATAGCGGAGCTGGGAGTGGAACTCGGCGCATAGTACTTGGCGGCTACCGCCATGATCACTTGGCCATTGAGCTACGCGAGAAGTGTTTGACACAGCGGATAGAAGTGGAGGAGAAAAGTGGTCAAAACCGTAGTCCAATGAGCGCTAGGCGTTGTATCGTTATGTAGAAACAGTTCATATAAGAAAACCGCAACCGGTAGTGGGTAAAAGCTAGAGCTATTATGGAGGGCGTATCGGAAATCTTGGTGTACTGCGAGGAGAACACAAAGAGTTAAGATGAATGACACAGACTGTCGGGAACCAGCTGCAAACATACATGGGAACGGAAAGCGAAGCAATGAAAAAAGCGTACGGTACGAAAAGATCAATGTACAATAAAATATCGGCTGGGATGTCGAACAAAGTCAGGACTTTTGTGTGGCACATGTAGGCAAGACTTAAAGAAAATACTCACGTGGAGTCGGAAATAATACAACTCATGATGAAGCCACAAGTGGTCCGTAAAACCAAAAACCTGCCACTGTTTTCAAGTTCGATCGAGAGAATAAAATGCTAAAATGGGAAAGATAAATAAGAAAACGCCGAATAGTTTCACAGTCTGTGTTGGACAGACAGCGCACCTTATTGCTATAACCTATATTAATGCAGTTGTAAGCAAAAACTATTAAAAATTCCAGTGAGTTGTAAAACAATGCTATTTTAGGCACCAAAAACTGAATTACGATTCACGATTGAAAATCAGAATAGAATAGTATGGAAATTATTTTTATTGATGCCAAGGAACAGCACTCTTATAAGAACGGAACATATAGATGACAAATCTACTAAACATGCAAACCAGTCGATGATTAGGGTTTATGTACAGATCCAACAGGGACGTCTTGACATAAATCATCATTTATAACTTTCATCGTCCTGTTTCATTAGATCCACAGGGGAGGATATTCGGTAGCAAGAAACCACTATAATCTGTCTACATTCTCACGAACCCTAGTGTGGTAGCTCCATTGCTCTTCCGTAACTTTGGGTTGAAGTGCAAGCCCGAGGCAGTGCGGCCGACAGTGAATCGTTCCGAAAAAAACCATCTCTTACAGAATGAAATCATCCAGCTGTTCGGTTCCACATATGGAATCCAGGTGCTGATAACTACTATCCTGCTAGCACATTACGTCCTTTATTCAGACGTTAGACTTTCAAGAAAATAAAGTTTAAGTGGAATTGCAATGCTATAGGTATCCCATGTTTGTTGTTTCTTCAAACCGTCATTAAAGCAGGAGTTGACGAAGGGCCTTGAAATGTAGATGGACTTACAACAAAGACCGAACACACCCCGCACAACTAATTACTGCCCACATGTCCTGCACTAGCAGTCGCTGCTGGGCCGGTTACGTAAAGTAAAAAATGAAATAGTAAATAAATAAATAAATGCTTTATTTCCAAGTGCGAGACGCCTAGAAAGGCATGATCATTGTAATACAGATCGTATGGTCAGTAAGTGTCACAAGTGTTTCTATGTAACCAGTTGATACTGGAGTTGTTTTATGTGTATATTTAAGTCAATGGGTTAGTAAGCATGTTGAGTGAATTTGTTACGGTTGTGCTGAATTTGTGGTTGTGTTCGGTGAATTCGCCAAAACAGGAAGGGATCAAATAAGATATTTGAATTGGTTGACGTCCGTGAATCAGGTAAGATCCTCCGGACAGGTAGGAAGCAGTCTTTATTTGGTAGCGAGTCATATCCGCCACGTCATAGTGTTGTTAAACAGACATTTGTGGTTTTTTATAGGGAGAACACTTGCCAGGCGAAAATCCACCACCTCCTGAAACAGTGCCGCTGAACCATTCGCTGGAGTAAGAGTAACCCGGACCACCCAGCAGGCACCACTTGGAGGCTGTTCCACTAGACACGGGAGGGCAAGAAGAGGAACGCCGCTAAATAATTATAATACTAAGATACGTGATGAGTTAAAAAGAAAACCAAAAGCTGAAGATAAGTCAGTTGGGAGAAAGGAAATATTTGGTGTTGCCACACAAGAGCATAGAGCTGACGTGAAAAACCCTTAACCGCAGGTCCCCTAAACATGAGGTCTGGAAGCGAGTTCCATCACTTTACAACTCGGGGCGACAAAAGAGTTGCCAAAAGCGACCGCGGCTACTAGGTAACTTAGTGGGAGTAAACAGTCAAAATAAGCTCGGGCCGATCTTCCACGTCAAAACATGGTGATGATGATGGAGTTCCCACTATTTCCCCGGCAATGCATTGTTTACATCCCCGACTAACCAAAAGTTTGGGATACGCCTGTTCCCGGAGACCGTAGCAATAACCTAATATCCAATCATAAAACCCTCTACAAGTCCACTTTATCTCGGATAAGACATAATGGACAAGCTTGGATACAATAGTCCAAGCGGGGAAGCAGGAACGTTGAGGATAACTTTAGCTACATATCAACCATTAAGACTCCGAAGGAGCGGCGGATAAATCATACCGTACGGAACGCTTACAAGCAGCCTTATTCCAATTGTCGCCAACGTGGAGGGCTGATGAATGGACGACACCTAGATCAACTTGCTGTCAACTTTTTGGACATTTGAACTGCATTCGACTCAATCAATCGGGTTGCTTTATGGCGTCTGTAAAGCAATGTGGTACCCGAAAAGTATACCGCCATACTTCGTGCTATATACAACAATGTCTCTGACAATGACAGCTTATGGTTAGCTCTCTTCACTTTTCGCCATCACTAGCGACATGCGACAGAGATGCTCCATGCCCTGTTTTTCTTCAACTTTGTGATTGAGGATGTTTCAGTAGGCGCTCTAGGTCTCCAGGATTCTGGAGCAGAGCAACGCACGACTGACTTGAACTATGCTGGTGGTATCGCCTCGCTTGGTGACGACCCAAAGATCATGCAGGTCGCTCTAAATCGCTTAGTGATTAGTTACCAAGTATGGTATGAGCTTTGCCCCATCGAAGTGCAAGGTCCTACTACAGTAATGGCATCCAGCTACCCCGTGCTGATTCTTGAAGCCATGCAGCTTGAACAAGTAGATAGTTTCATCTAAGATAGAAGTTGTGTCTCTTCTTCTGGCACCATTGGTAAAGAGATTTCGCTCCGTAGTGCCAAGGCCAGGTCAGCTATCGCTTATCTGAGGCAGCTGTGATGTGAAAGTTCACTCTCGGTAAAGAGCAGGATCCACAATGCCGGTGTTCGTGCGGTCCTGTCGTACGAAAGTGTCGCGTCCTGGGTGATAAGGGCCTCTCATTCGACAAGCCAATATCACTACGCCAGAGGAGGTGGCTAGGTCCCTTCATACGCATGCCGTGCGACCGTTTGCCACGGTATAGTTTATTCGCTGATGCAGGGCCGCACTGAAAGAAATCGCACGATGGTCAGCCTAATACATGGCGACCAAACGTCAAGGCACTAACTTACAATCTAGCGGTTATCAGGCCAGTGTGATTGCCGGGCAGGGGAGTCAAAGATGAAGACCAGCGTTAATTGAAGACTCTTTAGGACATAGCGCGTAATCGGTGCAAATGTAAGGTTTTCTTAAAATTATGCACCAGATAAAATGAACAAAACCGTAATCACTAAACTGACAAAAAAACGGAGAGTGAGAAATACCAAAAATACCTTTATTTCATTTCCTCACTTTTGGCCATTACACACATGTATTCAGTAGTTTCGGAGGGCTCCATGTCTATTTTGCAGACAGCTGATTATATAAATATATATATAAATACATACGGTTAGTCTGATAGAAGAAGGCCGAATAGCGTTCATTTACCTACCGTGCCTCGTTTATGGTGAACGCCGGTCATTTACGGTTGTTGTCCCCAACATCCAATAGCCATCCAATGTTAAGTGAAAATCGCAGCATGCTACTGCGCGTGCAGAGACATGAATTTCCCTCTCAACTTAGTGGTGCGGACGTATGGAATTATTGGCAGACGAGTGATTTAGTGATGGGATCAGCTGAAGAAAAGCCTAACCTCTAAAGACGCACCGACACGATGCTGTTGATCAGCGAGCAAGCCACAACGTGTTTCCGGCTGTCAGCTAACTTCGCAGTGAATAAAGGTCATGGCCAACCGTAGGCGTTGTAGCGATCGATGGTTATCTCTGTGTATCTCGCTAGCTTCGCGGCGAAGTCCGCGTAGGCAACCGAGACTGCAACGTGCATGTGCGCACGTGATGGCAGCCCAGCTGAGGACAAGGTCAGACATTGCAACTCTTGTCAATGTTATTGAATCACAGGTAATGGAGCACGAGCAGACAATGCAGTTGGGATCACGTAACGTTCCTGTTACTCAGCGCGCGCTGATTATTCGACTGTACGGTGAATGCGGTTTAAACGCTGCATCAGCTTCAAGAAAATACAATGCAATGAACGCAGGAATGCGTCCCATCACCGCCCGGTACGTGCTTAAACTAGTGAAGTTCGAGCAAACTGGGGGTGTGTGACATGAAGAGAACCGGACCGCCTCGCATCACCACGGACGACTGTTCAGCTTGCGCTGTAGTCAGTGAAGTGTCAAAAAGTCCCGATCTCAGCATTCGTCGGATCGCACAGCACTGTGACACGACCCGATATGCGGTACACCGGATATTACTGGAACGAAAATTTCGGAGGTCCCGTGCACTTCAAGTGCAGGTTTTGAACCCATGCGATCCGGAGAAGCGGCATT